TCGTCTCGTCTCGTGCAGCGAGAGAAAATGGGTCTCTCGTCTCGTCGAGAATACTCTTTTCTCGCTCGAGAGTGCCTTTCTCTCGTCTCGTCTCGTTTCTCTCGTGGTAAAAGTACCTATGTATGAATACAAAAATTATTTGCAATTAAATACGTATTCGTTTATATTTTTTCTATATAAATTTAAACTGGAAATAAAAAAAAAATGTGCCAAGACCACACTGATAAAGTAAGACTTTTTACGCCGAAAATGTCGCACATTTGAATCAAATGGTTGGATCTATGTGGAGTAGTTACATCTATAGATGTAACTGTAACACTGAGAAAAAAGTTTATTGCTCCCAAATAAAAAAAATATTTATATATATATTTATATTTATCTTTATTATTTCGACTATTTAGAGGTAATAAACAATATATTCACTATTAATAAAAGGATTAGCTACACAGTTTATTTGTCCCATTTTTTTTCTCAGTGTAGTATATAGGCGCAGTAGTTTTCAGATGGATGGATCAAATCATCCATCCATCTGAAAACTACTGCGTCTATATGATGTAACTACTCCACATAGATCCAACCATCTTGTACCTACTGCGCATGTCCGTCATTTTGAATCCGCAATTTTGTTTTTTGAATGGATATCAAATTCTTAATCAGGGACCCCATAAATATCTAAATACTAAATTTTACCCAAACCATTAAAGCCGAACGACAAATTTTCGTCATATTGGATCAGCCATTTTATTTTTTGAAGAAATGGATATCAAATTTGTAATCAGCCCCTCAAAAACCACATGTTGTTGATAAGTTCATTGAATAAGCAATGCTTATTAAGCATACGGGTTGTTTAATAGTATAAGGAGTGCCATAAATGTGCTTATACAGGGTAAATTTTAAAAATTAATATTATTTTATAAGTAATTTTTTTCTTGGTTAACCTTAAGTTGTGTTATAAAATAATAAAACGTTATACAGGAACAAATTTTGTTTATTATGAAATGCGAATAATGTTCTCATTGGTCCAAATAAATATCGCAAAATTAAAATTTTTATGTAAAAAAATTGTTTACTTATTACCGGAATAATCGAGAGAACGAGAGAGATCGAGAGAAACGAGAAATTCTAGAGCGAGAGGGCATTCTCTCGTCGAGCCTTTTTTCGAGAGAAAATCTCCCTCTCGTCTCGTCGAGACGAGACGAGATGAGACGAGAGGCGAGAATCTCTCGTATCGGCGGCATCACTAATCCTAAATGTGTTAGCGTTTCGAAGATGTCTGATTAGGGGGTGTCCATTCATTACGTGAGTCAATTTTAACGATTTTTTGACCCCCTCCCCCCTTGCTGAGATGTCGTGAGATTTGGCTCAACCCCCTCCCCCTAATCTCACGTGAGATTTTAAAAAATGCTTATTTTTAATGTTTATACGTTAAACTGCTTGATTCTGTTGGATTTATTAAAAAAACATACTTTGTTAAAAATTACGTGATATTTGCCGAGACCCCCCCTCTCCCTTACGTGAGAATTGATGAGATTTGGCTTGACCCCCTCCCTCCCCTAAACGCCTCACGTAATTAATGGATGCCCCCTTACGGCTTGTACTGGTCACGCGCTCGAAAATATTTAATATCTTCCGATCCAAAAAAGTCTCCATTTTTCTGAAAAATTCATTTTGTAGAGTAATAAATAGTGCATAGAACAGTATTTTTTAATTTTTTTTCAGAGAGGGGGCAAACACAAAAAATCTGTTTATACAAAAAAAAAATATTTTTTTCATATAATAAACAAAACACAAACTTTTTAAATATTTATCTAAAAAGACTATGTAATATGGTTTAAAATAAAAAAAAAATGAAATCGATCCGATCAGTAGAACCGGAGATAATGAATTTTAAGTACAAAAGAATTCAGCATTTTTTCTAATTTTATCAAAAGTTTAAATCAATATATCTTTGGAAAAATAAATTTTCTGCAAAAATTCCGATATAGGGATCGGCTAAATTTATGAAAAGATGCTGTAAAAAAAAATTAAGTCATTTTAAAAATTTGAAAAAATATGTTTTCTGTAATCCGTACGATATGTAAAAGAATGTCTCATATGTGATTCGAGAAAAGTGACCTAAGCTTTCCAGTTCTAATTGTAGAGGAAAAAGGAAAGAACAGGCAACCGCGCTAGACGGCAGCGCAAACAATGAATGTTTAACGCGTTGTTATAACAATGCATGTATACATGCAGAATATATAAGTAAAACTATTTCTGACTTTATAAAATCAAAGAGCAGTCTTTCATTAATCTTTAACGATCATAATCCTAATTTATCATAATTTTAATTTATAGAAGAAAGGAAATCTTTAAGTTAAATTATTTTTGACTTGATTTAACACACGAACAATAATAAAAAATACATATTTTTGTAAATAATTAAACGCTTTACAAAAAAGACCTAAATCGTAAATAAAAGCGTTCAAAGTTTAATTTATAAAAAAATATAATTTTGTTAAGTACAATAATATATAAGTGTATAGCTATACCTATAGGTACGAAAGGAATAACGTGTTATAATAGTAATACAAGTCAATACGAAAAACTGTATCGCACTAGTGACCAAAATTACAAATACGAGAGTTTTTAATTTATTTTTGAATTTTGGAAATTTTAAGTTCAACACAGCAAACGAAAAATTATAGAAGTGTATAGGATGACTCCGCGTTTGAAAATCAAATCTTAAAGTTTTATCATAACTGTATTGAATCGTGCTTTGTTTTTATATTTTTCGGCTCTATACCTATGCACGACTATATTTAAAGTCAAACTCAATGGTGTCTTACAAGATACATTATTTTGATTTTCTATATTCAACAGAGAGATAGAAACTCGACCCTGTCGAATGGTGCAGTCATTTATGTCTCTAGAAATTATTAAAAAAGGGTTCAGTCCAATGGTGCAGCAACTTCGGATTCCTATTCTCCTCAGAGACATAGAAACTCAAGCTTTTCGAATTTTACTGGCAATGATTTTCGTTAATGTCCCCAAAAATTATACAAAAACAGCGCAATGCAATATCGCAACGGTTTCGACTTCTCTTTACTCTACCATGTTATAGAAACTGGAGTCTCTCTAATACTGTTCTAGTCAATATTTCTGAGAGTATAAAAAGAGGGTGTAATATTGCAAGAAGTTTTGATCTTTTGATGGATGCAAGTAGTTTGAATTTTCCCCTTCCTGCATATGATTTTGTTGAAAATAGTTCCTTTCTTTGGTTCCTTTGTCTGATTTTTATTTACCGTAACAACTCAGGTATGTAAAGCACAGATGATATGATGTTAAGTATATTTATGTATTATATAAAGTACCTATATTTGTATTAAAAATTTCAGAGGTTATGTTGAAAAAATGATCGATATGCTATTAAACTTTAATAATTTAGTAATTAGGTCTGTTGGTAGACCCTGCACTATCTCCACTGGTATATGTTAGTTTTGTAATATTTAAATTTGGTTGATGAAAAAGTACACACCAGTGCAGGTTATTGTAGCATCTACGAACAAATGAATTAATGGCCCATTGGCAATTATTCCTTTGGGAAAAATATTCAACACAGCTTAATTAATTAATAAAATGAAAAAAATCACAAACAATCATGTCGTATATAGTTTTTTTTAAGCATAAAATAATTTTTATATTAATACTAGTTCAAAAGTGAAATTACGACCTCTATACTGTGGAGAGTATTGAAACGCTCGACTGACGAATACAACTCTATACCGTAGGGAGATTTAGAAAACGATATTCAAACGTGGCGTCATCCTATACACCTCTATAATTTTCCGTTTGCTGTGAAGGAGCAAAAAGAGTTTTACCATGTTATTTCTATAAGTAACTTCCAAAGCTGTTAAGCGCCTGGGAGCATACGAACATGAAAAATAAATTTAGAAATGAATAACAATTCTCAAGTTCTTATGTTTAAAGTTTAAATCCTAAATCATAAAGTAATATTAGTAGTACAACTTCATGTGCCAGTAAAAGCGTTTACTTTTATACCGGTTGAAATTTAATGTATTTAATTGAAAGCGCATACATTAAATAGTATATATTTTGGCTTTTGGATTGATCCGAACAACCCCCGCCATCTTGAAAAAAAACCTAACTTTTTGTTTTAATAACTTACGAATCGTTTATCGCACAGAGACCAAAGACTTTTAAAATACAGGCCATTTTAAGGGCTATATATATTTTTTATAAAACTTATTTTACCCACCGAAGCGTTGTTTCAAGAATAAATGCAAAAAAACGAAAACCTTTTTGGAAAATGGTTTTCCCCCTTTTTACTCCTTTTGCGATGTTTTTTTTTAGAAAATGCTCTCTCTCTCTCTTCATATTAATTAAATTGGTGCAGGTCCCGTGGGACAACAAAAAAGTAAGTAAATTACAAAGTTTTAATACCTATTTTAAATTGCGGTTTTAATATACATATTTTTAAATAACTTTAATTTGTGTAAATGATCATTTTATAAAAAATTTCAAAATCTACAAAATTATAAGACAACATTTTTGCTAAAAAAACAAGCGCAAAAGGGATAAAAAAGGAAAAAAACCATTTTCTAAAAAAATGGTTGAGGTTTTTTAAATATATTTAGGCAACAGCGCATCGGAAAGCATACAAAAATGTAACTCTTTATTACCAGTATTACCCAGAGTCTGTTCGGCAAACGGTTTGTAAGTTATTAAATTTATTAAAACAAGGTGTTTTTTTAAGTTGACGGGGTTGTTCGGAACAATCCAAAAAGCAAAATACAAACTATTTAATTTATGCTCTTTTGAATAAAAAAATAAAATTCCAACCGGTATAAAAGTTTTGGATTACTTATATAAAATCTTTTACTGGCCTAAAGGCTTTCACTCCTAAGCTGTCACCTATTTACTTGTTATTTAGTAATCATTCATTCCTTTATAGCAATAAATACTAAATTTTTCCGTGTAGTTAAGTGTTTTTATAATTCTAGCTACTGAATACCTTGGTACTTATATGTCCCAGTTATATGGAAGAATAAGTTGTGGTTGGGTGTCGATAATACCATTTATATTTTTATATGAACCTGAACATCTTCAAGCAATACTAAGTAACAGTAAAAGATCTGAAAAAAATAGGATTTATAAAATTTTGCATAACTTTCTTGGAATTGGATTGGTTACCGAAAATGGTAAAGTGCAATAACATACAATTAAATAAAAATATTAAAATACTATTGCAGGACATAAATGGAAATTTCACAGAAAATTAATCCAACCATTATTTCATATAAATGTGCTGGAGTTGTACATATACCATTTTATTCAGGGTTCTCAGGAGTTTCTTAAGCATATCAAGGAAAAAGAAAATGTTAAAATTACATCTTACATTAATAATTTAATTATTCGTACACTGCATAGTAAGAAGAAACTTATTAAATAATAAATTATACACAAAACTTACATAATTATTTATTTAGGATCAATACTAGGAGTTGAACAAACAGAAGATTCTCCATTCAGAAAGTAAGTGTAGAATAATTATTTCTGTTTATATTTTAATAAATAATTAATTATATTTTATAGAGGTCAAACTACCATGTTATACAGATTAACAAGACCATGGTTACTTTTCGACAACTTTTTTAAATTTACTTCAGCTGGTTATAATGAAAGCAACCAAAAATGTAGCTTATTTAATTATACAAAAAAAATTTTGGAAGAAAAGATTAAGTCCGAAAAAAGAAACCCAGAGTTCTGTTTAATGGATGCTTTAATAGAGGTATCCAGAAATAATCAAGATTTCACATATACTGACGTCATTAACGAAATATGCACATTTATGTTGGCAGTATGTATTAAAATATTTTTAAATTTTTATCTAAATAATTCATTAATTAGGGTCAAGATTCATCAGGTGCAGCTCTTGCTTTTCTTCTTTATTTTATTGCTAAACATAAAGATATCCAAGAAAAAATATGGAAAGAACAAAAATGTATTTTTGAAAATGTACACGCAAATATAACAATGAATGATTTAAATAAGATGAAATATTTAGAGCAATGCATAAAGGAAACTTTAAGAATATATCCAAGTGTGCCTATGATGGCAAGAGTTTTAAAAGAAGATTTAACTTTAGGTTATAATATTTATATATTACTAAAAGTGTTTTATAATCATATTTTTATATTTTTAGATAGGAAGTATTGTATACCAAAGGGGACTAATATTATCGTTTCCCCATTTATAACTCATAGATTGCCTCACATATTTAAAGATCCCTTAAAATTTGACCCCGATCGGTTTTCAGAAGAAAATATTGAAGACATACATCCTTATGCTTATTTACCATTTAGCTTAGGCAATAGACAATGTATAGGTAAGTTTATCTTAATTAATGATGGTAACAGTCACACAAAAAAGTGGTCTACGCCAATAGGACCATGATATTTCTATGAATTGCTGAAACTAAATCTAAACTTAGTTTGGCCCCCACTATGAATTTAAACACATTTTAGCACTTACACGTCTAGACTTTCTTCACACGTTGCCAGTAGGTACACCTTTTTATTATGCGCTTCACAAAAAACAACAATTTACCTCCTAGAATGATTATCTACAATTTAAAAATAATGTCCATAAATTTTCATTTCTATTCTTTAAAATTAACCCGTGCCACCGAGAGGAGGAAAAATTGCATTGCATTGTAGAAATAAGCAACCTAATTTATACAGGGTGTCGACATAATTAAACGTTGTGAAATGTGCTTGCAGAGAAATGGAGGGACCTTTGAGCATCTTATGAGATAGACCGATGCGGCCTTTTTTGGGTCACCAATTTTCCCTTGGAAAAAGAAGGTCTCAAATTAAAACTAAAGGTATAAAAACGAAAACACTGACAGTGACAATGTTAATCATATAATTAAGGTCATTTTACACTACGATTTTATATAGAATTACTAAAATTAAGCTGCACATTATAGTTCTCTCGCCTCTAATCATTTTGCTAAAGCACGCCTGTGATTGGCTACTTTATTTTATTAATACTTAATTAATGGTACGTCTGATTAAAAAACGGAAAAGACTATTCGACTTAGAATCCCATCGGCATCACCTGACACTGACCTTCCAAAGTTATTTTTACCATCTTTCAGTTCTCATAAGTATCCCAAAACTGCACAGCATTACCTGTGTTTGGTGGATACGAATTTTCACCCCGGCTGGTCGTGGATGACAGTTTCTATGGTTAACACCCTTCCCGGAATTTTGTCACCGGGCCGAACCATACGCACGATTTAGGCTAGTGGAGTGCGGGACAATGAGGGAAAACATTTTGGTTTTTGAGGGACATTAAACTGACCCAAAACTAAATACAATCCGGAATCCCCCTCAACCAGGGATTTATGAATGGGGCTTGGTTGGTTAGTACGCTGCTATGACCCAACCCAACCTATCCTTGCTGGCAGGGCCGGTCCTGGCGAGCGTTAGGCAAAGTTCGGGACTACTTAAGATTTATGGGTTTGTATTTTTAAAGTAAATGCTTATTGTAGTTTTCGGTCAAACTTGCTTTGCTAGATAGGCAAATGGCATTTTTTTGGGCTATTAAAATAATGGTTTATTGTTCTCGGTTCACTTCTTTTAGTGTTTCTATCATGTATTTTCGTTGTTCCTCCGGATTTTTCTACGGGAGAAGGATTAACCCGAGGGATTGACAGACTTTTTGAATTTCGGAATTTCGAGTTTTTAATATTGCGAAGAGCGTCATGCAAATATTATTAAAATACCTATCCGAATTACGCCTTGTTCTCTTTCAGGTTCCTGTCACCTGTTCCTGGTAGGGGTGACACTTTTACTTTGCACTTTCGTTCTGGGTCGTGGGGTGTTTATGCACTGTCGCGGAACTGTACTCTGTTGACCGGAACTTTATAGAATAATTACCTCTTAGGTATTCTGGATTTAAAATGCACTATTTATAGCCGTTATGGTTAGATTTTGTGTAGCGAAAAGATATACGTCTGACGGGTACAAATGATACTGTCGTACTTAAGCAACCGTGAAATTTTACTATTTTACTACTAATATTTTTATTATTGGATACAATAAGTAAGCTTACATAGAAATGTTTACAATGAGAAAGTTCTTTTTTTAAATCGGAATAGGAATTCTAAAAAATGTTCTCTAAAATTGACATAGTAGGCGTTGTATTTTATAAAATTATGATGTTTTTGCTCCCAAAATACAGTTTATCTACACTTTAAAACAAATCCGTTTAAAATTGCACAATAAATAAAGATTTTACAGAATCGCAAACAAATGGGTCACAATGTTTATTCGTAAAATTTCTTTTTAATTAATTAAAAGATTAGATATATGGGTTATATGTAATAATATTGCATTAAAATCCTTGTAATATACTTTTTATATATCCAAAATTTTAGCAGTATTTTTGATGCAGACACACCTTAATTTTCCATAGTGACTCGGCGCGCCCGGGTGGCACGGGGACCGTGGGGAGATGAAATTTTGCACACTTTATGTTTTTATTGTAGAGAATAGTTCCAGAGTGTAGCACACATAATATTTTGACTTTTAAAATAAGGACCACCCTAATATATACAAAATCAGAGGCGATCCCTAGCATCACAAAATATTTATATATTTTTTTAATTGTAAGAAAAAAATTATTTTTCGTATTTCCTAAAAATTAAACAATTAAAAAATATTTCAACGAAGTTTAAAATCATCTAAAAGAAATTGGTTTAAAACCATATTTTTGGCTTAATTAAAGCTTTGGGAAATATCCTGTCGCGTAAGTAGAAACAGTCGCCGTCCGCGGACTGCGCCTGCTAAGCTCCTTTGTCGGCACCTTTGTAAAGATAGATTTAAAAAATTATAGTCTTTTGCAATATCACATCACGAGACCCCTAAAAGTTACGGGGCCTATATTATAATATCACCTACTTACCTGGCTAAAATTTATTGAAAAGCTGATTTTTAAATGCTTCATCCTTCGGCGCCCCCTATGACGAAACCTATTGCGGTGGTACATACATTTGATTCCAATTATTTTCATGTGAATCTAATTTTTTAGGATTTAGGGGTTTTAATAAAGATTTTTTTTTTGTAAAACGCAGGGTACTTCTCCCTTGAAGCATTCTAATGTTTTTCTAATTTCCGAGTTCCCTGTACATTTGGTTCAAAAAATTTTAATGGAAATCTCGTTTATGAAACAAGCGCGATTTTTTATAAAGAATGTTTTTTTTATAAAAGCGCATAATACCGTTTTTCTATTAGCAACCCAATGTAGACACACTGTAGAAAAACATCCGGGCGTGTAGATTTAGTTTCAGCGGGCGAAAATACAAATATCAATCTTGTTCATGGCGCAGACCACGTTTTTGTGGGCCTGTTTAATTAAACTGTATTTAAAAGACTGTTGGTTATTATTCTTAAAGTACTATCACTAATACTGGTACTATCCAATAGTAAACTAGAGTAGTAACAACACATGGAATACCACCAAAAATTAAATAGTTTTAAATTACGAGTACTTGAAATAAGCCTTACATTTACCCATCACTTACTTATAGTAAGTACAAAATATTGCAAACAGTTATTTAAAAGCCATTAATCAAAAACAGCAATAATTGCCTAATATCGCAAATAACGGCGATTGGTAAAACCGGGTTTTTTAGAAATAAGGAAAAAGGCAAGTAAGGGATAATGTAAGTAGTATTATAAAATTAATATAATACAATTTAGACCGATAAAATATTGTAATAAAAATCCAACTTCCCAAGTACACTGAGTGGCGCACTTAAATTTATTTAAATTTACTCCAAATTTTTTGCTTTCTGTTTGAAAATTATCTATAGTTTATTTTATTTGTCTAATTTCAATATATGAAGGTACATTTTTGACATTAGTTTTCAGATTTTGTGTTTGTCTTGGTTACTTTAAAGTTTTAAATTAAAATCGAAGTTTTTATTATTCATTTAAGAATAAACACAACAACTGATTTTTAACTTAAAGACTTCGCAACTTCGAAGGGCACTCCAGAGATACTGCTGCTGCTATAAACACCAAACAGCTGTTGAACTCGCTCAAAGACTTATGTAAGTGCCTAAACAGCGAGGTGACGTATGGCGACGCTAGGAGGAAAGTATTTTGAGGTCAAGGAGACCTGCTTCACCATGGTTGGAATAAAAATGATTGGAGGCGTGTTACGTTTTCCGATGAATCCCGATTTAGCCAGCGTTTCTGACGGACGCCAAAGAGTTTAAAACAAGCTAAAGAGATTCGCTAACAAACTAAAAAGGAAGAATAATGAAATGGCTACAAAACTAAAACAGAAAACACACAGAGCAGAAAAACTAACCGCGGATGTGCAGGTGGATATCTTACAGCAGATTTCTTTAGTCTTTGCAAGTGTGGCAAAGCCCTGGTGAAGGAATTATCAATTCTCCCACACGGAAATCAAGGTTGGCAATCCGTTGGCGACCAAGGACGACACAACAAAGGTGGTCTTTGTGGAACCAACGGATCCAAACCTATAGAGAGTGGGATCCAAAAAACATTCAAGAAGAAATTTCTGGAGCTCTTGAGTGACTGTAGGAAAACGAATCTATACAAGAAGCGAAAACAGAAAAGGAAACGAGAATAAATATCATAAAAGTGTATAATATTCAAAATATTAAACAAAGAACGAGAATTGGGTGACTAAGCAGACGGTAATGTATGTGTTAAGACGAAGAAACTCAGAAGATATGTATGAGTGTATTTTCTATCTAGAGAAAACAAGTGCGCATCTTTACCCAAGGTGGAGAAAACGAGAAAATTGAGAAGGAGAGATCTACGAACGCCCTGGTCTTAGGAAAAGGGAAGTTGTATGAGGACATCCTCAATAGAGTAAAGGAGACACTTCAATGTAATTTGGCGAGAAAGGTGATAAAAAACATTCGTAGAACAAAAGATAAAAAACGGCAGTGGATGAACTTGAAAAAATTATCATAGAAAACACGGGAAAATGACTCAAAGCAACAAGCCCAATACAAAAAGGTAACATCTTTATTCGAGAAATAGATGCAATAAGGGACAAGGCCGAGGTGTAAGAGGCCATAAAAGATGCAGTATACCAAATGAAGGAAAATAGTGTAAGCTAAGCGAACTCAGGCCGAGCTCTGCAAACACTACCTTCGGATAAAAAAATCAAAAACAAATTGGTAGATCGAGTATACATCAAGATAGTGAAAAAATTGTTGAGCTAACTGAATCCTATAAGTGCTGCGCATTAGACCACTTAGCGACAAAATTCGAGGGCCCAGATAGATCAAATCTGGAAAAGTATGTCATAAACATAGGGAGGGATCTTTATATCATGGGAAGTGCCTAAATAAAAAGATATATATGATGTAAAATGACGAGGGTCACAAACTAGCACAAGCAAATGTCAGGCCCAGAAAGTATTACTAAGAGCCAGAGATGAGAAAAAAAATATCTGGATAAATCTTAAAATCCACCAGCTTAAAACATATTAGAAGAAAAAATAGATGTTGTGATAGGTCAGGAACCTAATAAAAAGCTGTGATCAAAGATTTTAGTTATAAGTTTTAAGCTGAAGGATTTTAAGATTTATCCAGATATTTTTTTTCATTTTTCTCATCTCTGGCTTTTAGTAAAGCTTCCTTAAAGGCCTGACATTTGCTTGTGCCAGTTTATGACCCTCGTCATTTCACATCACATAAATCTTTTTATTTAGGTATATCATATCTTTTTAGCGACACACTTTACTTTAACGTAGGCAAAACCGTTTTGCCTACGTTAAACTAAAGTTTGTCGCTATACTCTCGAGTTACTTCTCCCCAAATAGTGATAAAGAGTACTTCAATACACTCCCAAGCGAGTTGGAACATTTCATAAAAGCCACAAAGAATTACATAATCCTTGGTGCGGACCTGAACGACTCCAATAATAGGATCTGCGTAGTCTACTGGAGGACTGGGTCTCTGCCAATAATATACTGTTAGCAAACGGGGATAGCACCAAATCTTTTAATAGTGAAAACGGAAGTTTCCTGATTGATCTCACGGCATGCAGCGGGGAACCCTCAACCTGCATCAGTGTCTAGTAGGTGGAGTTTCGAGAGAACTTTAGTGACCACATGAATATTAGATTTAGTTGAACTATTTAGCCTGGAACAGGTTCATTGGATAAACCGAATGGACAGTGGCGGAAAACTATATAATAAATGTAGCTATTTGTTTAAGTACTTACCCGTTAAGCAACCCTAGCGCCGAAGAACTGGTGGAGGCCCTAAAAACGTGTTTTAACAAGCACCTGGAACATAAAGATAACGGACAGCGTAGAGAGGTCTATTGGTGAACACAGAAAATCTCTGAACTAAAAAGAGACTGTAACCATAAAAGGAGATTACTTTCCAGGCACCAAGAGAAAAAAACGCGCAACTTTGACCTCCTACAAAGACAATTATAAAAAGTTAACTTGGAGATAAAAAAATACAAATAAAGCGTAATGAAAGGAGCTGTGTAATGACCTGAAACGAGACGTTTAGGGAAAGGTATATAGAATTGATACTTGCTGAAAATTCTGTTTCAAGACAGAATGCAAAAGGAAGCGAAAAAAGGCTGCCCTACACGACCAGCAGTACGCATGCAGACAGGGAATAAGCACCATTAATGACATAGGAAATGTGCTAGAGACGCCTGACCGAATACGGATAAATTTCGCATAAAAACATATAGTTTTGCGTAATGTTTACACTAGAAATTAAATACCTTATTAATTCAGCGCCATGGCAGGGAATGGTGGTCAGTTGAAAAATATAAATTTAGCCCATATCTAGTCGGAATAATAAAATATTATTTAACCGAAAGAAGAAAACTTAAGTGCACAAAGGCCGAACAGCAGATGGCCTGTGGTGTTCCATTGGGCTCCGTTCTTGGGCCTACTTTGTGTAATATATTCTAAAACCAGGTTCTGCAACTAGACCAAGTATAAGGGGTATAAGTTGTAGTATATGCAGACGACACAAAAAAATAACAGAGCTAGAGGGCAGAGCTGCGTCGGCGGTAGATCGTGTTATACATAGCCTAAAAAAAATGGAAATTGAAGTGGCCAGCTAGAGGACAGAAATTCTAATCCTAGCGGAAAAAAAACTAAAAGCTAGTTCCAGCTAAACGTGGGCCAAATACATGTGCGCAACTAGGCTGCACTGAAGTATATAGAAATGTATAGACATAGACTCTAGGATAACCAACGTACGTGGTATTTTAAATTTTGGTAATTTTTTTATTTTAAATGTTGGGTTGTTTATTTTATTATTTCTTCCCAATAAACTTAAATTTGATCTTTTAATATGTTTAATTTAAATAGTGCGACCCTTTTTTTTTTAATTCAGTGCATATCCCATATTAGGTTTTTCCGACCGCTTTAAATTTGTTTTTGTATTTTAGAAATAAAAACAAACAATCGCTTCAAAAATATAAATACCATCTGCTAATTATAGAATTATTTTTATATAATTTTTAATCTTTTGCCAGAGCGGCAATGCATGCCGGACTGACTAGAGTAAGTAAATGAAATGGAAGTTAACCTTGTTTTGAGTCTTTAAATGTTTGTTTTAGAAAAAATGTTAGCATTGAATGCTGATATTTTATATTAGGGATACTATTCCATATTTGCTTACTTTCTTTTACTTTTAATTTAAATGACGTCACCCTAGAGTTACACTGTTACATGTCGAATTTTTCTCGATTTTAAGTTTTTGGTGTTAAATAGTTGTACGTGCATTGGACTTGGATCTTACAGAGTTTGAAGGTTCTACCTCATATCCTTAAGTTTATATTACCAGAAAAACATATATACGAATCAAGGAACATCTTAGAAAAAAGAACCACAGAAAGGAGCATTTATGGGAGATTTGTGTTTGCTGTCCTTGTCTTACGTATTGTTACGGCCAAAAAAAATGAGTTATACTTGGTTGTTGCAAATGACGACTTCTGTCGCACTTTTTAGTGCGGCTTAAAATAATAAGACTCCTTCCTGTTGTTTTTTCTTCTAAGGCAAATATATACGCAAAATGGAGAGACCAATATATTAGGGGTAACGGACCACGCCTGGCCACATGTTCACCATATCAGGTGGTCAGAAAAAAAGATTTTGCACAAAGAACCATTTAGAAGGAAGAGGAAGTTCAAGGAAGCAGCGGTTATGTACCAGAATGGCTTTAGTAAGCAATAAAGTGATCTTGAAATTCAACTATGTATAAATTTGTCACACCTGGATAATCCGATGCGCTTTGTTCCATGGATCCACCAGGCCTAAATATAAATAGACCCACAGCTACTTAACTTATTTATTTATTCATTTGGCAATCATATGCTTTTATCCGCGACATCTGCGATCACCCGCAAACATCTGCTTTCATCCGCGAACATCTGCCATTATCCGTGAAGATCTGCTTATATCCGCAAACGTTTGATTTTATCCGGTTTTACCCGCAAACATCTGCTTTTATCCGCGAACATATGCTTTTACCCGCGAACTTCTGCTTTCATACGGTTTCACCCGCAAACATATGCTTTTATCTGCGAAGTTCTGATTTTATTTGGTTAGTGCACCTCCGCAATCATCTGCAATTATCTGCTTTTGACCGGCTCTACTGCTTTTCGTTTATATATGCATTTGTCCGGGATCATCTGCAAACGTCTGCTTACGTCTGGCGATTACCTGCATTTTTTTGTCTATTTTTGTCGGGTTATATCTGCAAACGTCTGGTTTTATCCGCGAGCATCTGCTTTTACCCGCAAACGCCTGCCAAGTCCAATTTCACCAGCAAACATCTGCTTTTATCTGCGAACATTTGCAATCACCCGCGAATATCTGATTTTATCCGCGAACATCTGCTTTTATCCACGAACATATGCTTTTACCAGCAAACGTCTGCTTTATACGGTTTCACCCCCAAAAAAAGGCTTTTATCCGCAAACGCCTGATTTTATTTGGTTAGTGAACCACCGAAATCATCCGTTTTTGACCGGCTCTACTGCATTTCGTTAATATCTGCATTTGCCTGGGTTCATCTTCGAACGTCTGGTTTTATCCGCGATTACCTGCATTTTTTCGTCTGGTTTCATTCGCAAACGTCTATTTACGTCCGCGAACGTCTTCTTTCATCCGGTTTCACCCCCAAACATCTGCTTTTATCCGCGAACATCAATTTCACCATTAAACATTTTGTCGGGTGTTTGCGGATGAATGCAGACGTTCGCAGGTGAAACTGCATGAAAGCAGATGTTTGCGGGTAAAAGCATATTTTGCGGATTAAAGCAGATGTTTGCGGATTAAAGCAGACGTTCGCGAAAAAATGCAGATGTTTGCGGATAAAAGCAGATGTTTGCGGATTAAAACAGATGTTCGCGGATAAAAGCAGACGTTCACAGATAAAAATACAAATCGTCGGGTTACTGCAAAAACCAGATAACTCCCAAAATACTATTTAGAGTAATTTGAATTTGTATAATTTTCAGAAAATAGGACGGAATTAACCTTAATATTTCTATCAAAGTCACGTGGTGGGAGTTTATTGTACATTTTAAAAATATTTATTTATTTTCAGGTTATAAATTTGCAATAATGGAAATAAAAACTGTTACATCAGTATTGTTAAGGAATTACCATATATCCCTTTTAGATAAAACCAAAGATATTCACATGTTGTACAGGGTTACCTTAAGGATCAAAGAAGGAGTTTGGTTGCACCTAAAACCAAGAAATTGTTCAAACTTCGTTTGAACTCTTTGGTATTTTTTTATTAATTTAGTATCATATTTTGTTTTAAAATATATTTTTAAATAAAATTATCTAAAATAATTTGAGATTTTAAGAAAATTATTATTTATTACAATGTATAGGTACAATATGTACCTATTTATACCTATAAGCAGGAAAGAATCATTACATGATATGAAAAGTAATGTAAGTATTATTTAACATAAAATACCGATGACCGGTGGTAACTTTCGATTTTAAACTAATTTTTACAAAAAAAATAATAGTCTGTGAAAGCCAACGTCTTGCAAGGAAAATGCAAATTTCAAATAATCTCCCTGTTGTAAATGACCGATTAATTCCTTATAGAAACCAATTGAAGTATTGGTTGGTATTAATAGGTCTGAATTGGACTTGGTTTAATTGGGAGCGATATAAAACAAATTGTTTTTACTGGTATTTTCAATGAAGGAAAAGTACGATTAGGATTCTACTGTTTTTTAGTGGTTTCGATTGGTTAAAGCTACTATTGGTAATTTCCAATTGAATTCAATTGGGCATTCCCAGTGTAAGATTCTAGAAAGGAATCTGCTAATTGGTTATTCCCAATACTTAAAAATATGGAAAAATCCAATTAGGATTCTACTGTTTTTTAGTGGATTCGATTGGTTAAAGCTACCCATAGGTAATTTCCAATTAAATTTATTTGAGCATTCCCAGTGTGAGATTCTCAAAAGGAATCTGCTAATTGATTATTCCCAATACTTTAAAATATCGCAAGAGGGCTCTAGTGTAGCAGCGCAAAACCAACGTAAGCAGTCCTTGTTCGAATGGTTGAGACGCCATCATAATCATTTAATGTCGTTTTTTTATTAGTCGGTTTCTTTTATAATCTCTGGGTTTCTGTGCTTAGTGGTAGTTGTGTACTTAAATGTACCTTAAAAAAATGTTTATATGTGTAAGGTTTAGGGACGATGGCTTGAGAATGGTGGTTACAGCGGACAAAATAAAAAAATTTGACATAAATAATATTGATTTACATGCCTACAAACATCCTTTGCAAGAAAGAAAAAAAATGATTACAACCTAGTAATTTTATTTATTTTTTATTACTTTTTTGTGTTAGTAAGTTATATGTATCAATGCATATCTCACTAACACAAAAAAGAAGAAGAAATAAAGTTACTCAGTTATAATAATTTTTTTGTCTATTCTGTAAAAAATGAATTCTGGTTTTTACCCGGTTATTCTTCTGGGATCTTAATTATTTTTCAATAAAAAATCAACTAGTATTTTTAATCCAAATTTAAAAAAATAAATTGGTTCAAATTGGTTTGACTGGGTTGGCGCTATGAATTACCAATTCATTACAGGTGCATTTCTATTGGATTTAGCCAATAGAGACAAGCATAGGCATGGATTGGTATATTCCAATTTAAGCCTCTGACTTCATTGGAACTTACCAATAGGAATGCAACTGGAATGAATTGATGATTCATAGCGCCAAAACACATTTCAAACCAATTCAAACCAATTACTTATTTTTTATTGGATTCTATCGGTCATTTACAATAGGGCTTTAGTAACGTAAATAAGCAAAATTGGCGATATTGGTTTGGCAAAAACCCCCAAGAGAAACGCAAAATCCTGTTGCATTTACCAAATGTTTTGGGCGGCTCTGGTTGTCAACGGAATTATCGATCCTTTTTAAGACGATCAGGGACGGGCGGTAACCGTAAATTCAGTACGCTAAATAGGCAACTTTTTCCGAATCTAATTATTTTAAATCGCATGTTTTAAAATTGGAACCTTGTATTATTTTATGTATACATAATATTTTTAGATATTTATTTAGGACTTCTAAATTGGGAATTACGAAATAAAATAACACAATAACAATAAATAATATTTATTTCTCTAAAATTACATAATATAATTGGAGGGTACAACACAAAAATATAATTAAGAGAGCTAAATTTCTAATAAAATATATATTTTAAAACACTATTTGGTTTAGAATAATATTTATATACACATTTTTATACATTTATTTTATATACTACCAATATCATTAGCAAACTCCATTATAAATACGTAGGTTGTTTACTCATGTTTTGGACGAATTCCAGAAGGCTGCTGCTTTTTGAAAGCTTTCGCTTTTTGGCTTTTCTTTTTTATTCAGTATGGGCGATTTAGGACAAGTAAATCGACTGGCTGAATTGGGATTTAACAAACCCTTTTTTGCTATATAATATTCGTTGCATTGTTCTTTTGCGATAACAGCTTGCGTTTTTCGCAATAACGATGGCGATGGAGATCTATATCTCAACGTGGGCTGTGCATTTAACTTTGTGGTATTTTCCTTTTTTAATGGTGATGGAGATCTATATCTTAACGTAGGTTTTACATTTAAATTTGTGTTATTTTCATTTTTTAAAGGTTTTGGCGAAATGATGGATTTTGATTTGGATTCGTCACTAGAAGATTTTCGAGAAGTATGTTCAGTTTGAATTTTAACATTTTGATTGATTATATTCATATTTGTAAGAGGTTGAAAACGGCTTGGTGAGCTATATCCAATTGGTGATTGTAATTTTGGAATAAGATCTTCCGAATTGGAAGTTGGTGAGGTATTACTGGATGAATCGGGTGATGACTCCAATTTGTCGAATTTTTTAATTGCGTTTGCTACACTTCTTGATGAATATATGGGCAGTCTTTTTAGGCTGTTCGACGCGCTGGGAGATTTGGCTAAAAAAAGAAAAACACATATTGATATAATTTCGGACAAATAATATGTAGTTATGTGTGTGTGTGTTTCTATGGTGTGTGTACAGACCATTGAAATAAAAAATTCAAGTGTACCAAAGCCTGCTCAGGTCCGCCTTATAAGATACGAAACTGTGAGTTGTCAGAATAGCGTTTGCAGGTTATTTTAGATTGATTTTTATGTTTTTATATTGTATAGTTTTTTTATATAAATATATAGTTTCTTCTACTTTTTATAGGTTAGTTTAAACAATTAACAGGGGATAATAAAATTTAGGTTACCAACACATTTTAATCTAGCGCCATACCACGCGATATAGGTACTTTAAGTATATCTTGAGCGCGTGAGCGACTTTTTCTGTTGTTGCCGTTTTACACAAGGATCCTTTTGGAAAACATACCCTGCTTAAAATACCCCATAGAGACCCTGTTTAAACCGATAGATATTTGTATCGGAATGTATGGTGTTTCTATAGGGTGTATCGGTATGTATAGGACCCATAGTTGGGATTTATGGTTGTTCTATAGGGATATCCACCCTTGATTTATTTGCTATTGGTTTCAATGGAGAAAACACACATAAATGTAGAAATTAGTTTTTTTCCCATAGGACCCCATAGGTTTTAATAAAGTTTTGTCAAATGTTTTATGGTTGCTCTATAGGGTTATCCCTATATATCCTTCATTGAGTTATTTGCTATCGGTCTCAATAGGGAAAATGTAAAAGTTTTGGTATGCCTATAGGTAATTTCCTATACATTTTATATCGGGCCGTATCCGGAAAAAAACATGGACAAATGCACATATTGAATCCGGTAGCGCCCGATAGATTATTTTGTATAGGTCTCTATAGGGTATTTTAAGCAGGGTACTTATTTCTCGTTTCTAAATCGTAATTTGCATTGTGCACTCTTTTAATTTATGTTGGAAATAATTACAACAGTTAATATGCTATGCCTAAAACCTCTTCCACAAGCCCCGAAAAACTTACGGAAATTGGAGTTTTTTAGTTTACATGTTTTTACATTGAATAATATTTTATGTTATATTTTTTAACAATATTTATTTATTTAAAAGTTTAAACACAATTTTCTGATAACAGAATATAAATTTAATTACTTGTTGCTTAGTGATCCCCCTAAAATTGAAGCTTTAATTTAAGAAGGATTTTCTTAGACCAGAGGCCTGGGGCAGGCTGCTCTTCCCGCCCCCGTTAGTCCGCCACTAGTACAAATGGGTATTTTTAACTGTTAATTGACTTTTTAAGGGTAAGCGCGTACAGTGGCGGTATGATAATTACATAAAATTGTACAAAATTATTTAATAAAATTAAAAAAAGTATAGTGTTCAACTCTTGAGGAATGCTCATTTCCATTCGGATGAATTATTCCACTCGCCTTTGGGCCGTGTTTAATCCTCAATGAAATGGCCAGCTTTCTCAATCGTTGAACAATATATTTTCTATGAATGGGTTGACATCTGTCATAGAAATAATTTATTAAATTGTCATATTTTAATTTAATAGTCATGTTAAAAAAAGCATCAAGTTTAACAAAAATTGCCAAGAAACAAACCAGATGCCCTCCCTTTGATCAATCTAGTGGTAATAAACCCCCAAAACATAGTGGATGGAATTATAGAGTCGGCCCACCCAAACCTTTACCTTCAGTTATTTTATGCGCGGAAATAGCACAAGGATTTGCTTGGTGGTGGGTATTATGGCATTTATGGACTGAACCTGGGCATGTTTTTGGCGAATTTACTTATCCTAATCCAAGAAAATGGAGCAATGAAGAATTATTTATACCTGAAGAACTTTGGCAGTATTCTGATGTTAAAGTTAATAAGAAAAAATAAAATTGAAAAACTTAAAGCGTACTTACATTTTACAGGTACATTGTTATTAAAGCTTTGTATTTTATTTGAAAGTTTTAAACTTAAATCAGTCGGTCTATTACTTGGTACTGTTTTAGTAGCTTTTAAATTAACATCCTCTTTATTCATATTTGTTTCCGACTTCCTCGTATTGACATTATTCGATTTAATTTCTGGTGAATTTAAAACCAGCGAGGTTGTCACAACGTATTTCTTGGATTCTTCGGTTTTATATTCACATTCTTCATTTATTCGGAATTTTTTACTTAAAAGAGGTGTTGAAGAGCAACTATTAGAAGTAAGATGTGAAGAGCAGTCGCTTATACCACTATCACTTCTTTCACTGCAAGCTCTGGTTCTAACTTTGTTACTTTCCACTTCTTCTCGAATTTCCTTTATAACTTTTGGGCTAATTCCATTTGGGGCTAATTCAATTTCAATGTTTTCCAGTTTTGTTTTAACTGGATTATTAACTGGTAAATGTTCTTCTTCTGTTTTATTAACGACTAATCGATCTGGCTCGTCCAAAATTGTATTTAAAAGGTTAAAATCCACATCTTTCGATTTCGGTAAACCGTTTGTTTGAGAGTAATTGTTTAAATCAATTTCTTCCTCTAGACTAGACATTTTTTGAACAGAATTACCAGAAATCGAAGGTCTTGGTGTGTTTGGTGTAGAGTTAGCAGAATTTCTACGGCTAGCTGAAAGCGTGGCCATTCGCCCGAGGGCACGTATAGCATTGCCTGTTTTCTATCAAACAAAAAACACTTTCAAGCAACACTCAATTAAAAATCATGCAAAAAGCAACAAAAAGTACATACCTGCCATTTACGACGTATAATGAATTTTTTAAGTTTGTCGGTCGATAGGACGACAGTTTCTTGGTGAGTTTCCGGATCCAGCCAAATGTGCTTAAGACATTGTTCTGCAGATAACCTTTCTCTGTAAATTATTAGGATTTGTTAACTTTTAGCAAAACAGAATTGTATTACACTTAAAGTGATAAATAACTTACTCTTTACGTTTGACCAGTAATGCTCCGATGAAGTCTCTTGCATTTTGTGATACTGTATTAAATGCCTCATCTTCATAGTCGTAATCAGCTCTTGTAATGTTTGCAAACGTTTCAGAATCATTATCTCCCATAAATGGTGAAAGACCGGATAACCTAATTTAATAAACAAATACTTAGAAAGTAGGTCTAATACCAATGGCAAATTTTACTTACAAAACATAACATATGACACCTAGCGACCACATGTCCGATTCTACACCGATTGGCTCATAGTTGATGATTTCAGGAGGAATAAACTCTGGAGTACCAAATAAAACTCTAATGGGAGCATCAGGATTAATTTTTTGGGCCAATCCAAAGTCGATTATTTTAATTTCGTGTGATGTCCTTGTGTGACACATAATATTTTCAGGTTTTAGGTCCAAATGTACAATATTTTGTGTATGCATATAAGCAACACCTTCACATATTTGTCGCATAAATAATATACAATCTTTTTCAGTCAGTGTGAAGTCGTCAGCTACAACCCTTTCAAAAAGTTCCCCACCGGAAATACTAAAAAATATTACTTTAGCATTTTAAAATAAACAGATATTTTTAACTTACTATTCCATAACCATAATCATATCTCTAGGATTTTCGAAAGCCGCTGCTAATTGAAGCAGCTTCTGATGCCTTAGGAGATTCATAATATCAATTTCATCTTGTACTTTATCTCTATCTTTGGATGTTCTGCATTTGATAAACTTGGCCGCCAATTTTTGGTTCGTGACTTTTTCAATAACCTTGTGAACTACACCAAAACGGCCTTTACCTAGTTCTTCCAAAACTTCAAATCGAGATTTAAATTCTGGCCCTGGTTCTACGTTAACCATACGTGGCTCAAAGGCAGATGATTTGTCTTAAAAATAAAAAATATAATTAATAATAATACTGGACAATGTTTTAAATAATTCACCGATTTTGAACATTAAGGTTTAACAAAAATAATTCTTTTCACATACCACTATGTGCAAAAGTACTTTTTGCAAATTTTAATTAATTATTGTTTACTATATAATAAGATAACTTATAAAAGATCTCACCTAATTTCATTATAATTTGATATTATTTACAGGTTATTTGGATGTTTCACATAACACGAAAAGGTGCCACATACGCACAAATTTGTTAATGTTTTACATAAATACATATGTACATAGTATGCTTTGCAAAATCACGCTTTAAACAAAAATAAATATTTGATATGATAAATCAATTATTATCTTTTGTTTAACATATGTTACATATTAATAATGGCAAAAAACGTTAATACCACTACTTGAGAATCAAATTTCAATATTTTGTAATAGGTGTTAATAATATAACAAAAAACATTTTTTAAAGAAGTTGCGTCAAGTTTAGTTAACTAATATCTTTGTTAAACTTATGCACGCACAACGTGTTCAGTTAAAGCAAGCAGTTAATTAGAAGTTTAGTTTTAAAACAAGATTTAAAATGAAATAAATTACTACATAAAAGATTAAAAATTGACTGGGTAAACATTTTTTTCTATTGAATTAAAGGTTCCAGCAATGGATTTTATTCAAATCTTGCTGATCAATAATCGGTCAACTAAACTTAAAACTTGTGAACGCGCCTTTAGTTACTTAATTAATGTTTAAACATACTTTGTTCCTCCATTTGGATAATTTCAGACTCTTGTCCAGGTTTACTGTATCCGTGAATATTAAGAGCCCTGACCCTGAAGACGTATCTGCCACCAGGCTGTAGTCCCTTAACGACGTAGCTTAAGCAGTGACAATTTTCTATGGCAGTTGACCAAATATCACTACCTACGAGGGAATATTCAACTGCAAAACCAGTGACGATTTTTCCACCATCGTATGGCGAGCTGCTCCAGGCCACTGTCACAGTATCCAGGTTCGCTGTTATACACGGTTTGCCACTTGGTGGATCTGGTGGTCCTGAAAAAATAATTGATACATGAAACCTGTCACCAAACACAAAACTTGTTATACATTTGTATCGCGTTCGGTCGTCGCAAATTTAAGTATTAATCCAATTTTTAATTTTAATCGTACCTACATATTACTCTACAATTAGTTTACATCAAGATCTAAATCTTTTTGGATGATAGCGGTAAACCAATTGCAATTTTTTTACCGATTGGAAGCAGATGTATTGGGTATGATGTTAGCATGGTATTGGTATTTTTATTATTTAAAATTTGTACTTCTGTTCAAACCCTTAATTGTAAATGCTTTGACATTTGTCATTTAACTGTCAGAATAATAAATATACATTTATTTTTAAGTTAAATTTACGGTTGGTCTTCCCCTAGAGCGAAGTAAACATTAAAATTTTGACTTAAGATTATTATTGCCTATTGGCAGTTGAAAAATCTCTTTATTAATATTTTTTTGTGACACGTAAATGCATTTTTTTTTCCAAGCATGAAACAATTTTCTTGTTATACACCACCGTACAATAATGAAAATACATTAAAATTAACGCTGTGGCTCCCGTCCCGAGGCGGGACTTAAGTTCAGTCCCGATTGACGTCATAATTTTAAGAATTGTTATGTTACAATAAAACTAAAACAAACCAACCAACCAAACCAACCAACTCAACCCAACCCTACCCAACACAACCCAAAACTTTTTAACCAAGGGAAAAAAAAAACGGATTTACAGTGCGTGACGTCAGTCGGGATCGAAGTTAAGTCCCGCCTCGGGACGGGAGCCACATCGTAAAATTAAATAGGAAGAGAATCACTATCCATCACGTTTATCTCGAAATCAGCAAAGAAATGTAAACTCACAGGTCACTGTAGAATAAAGTTATAATTTTAAAAAAGTATATACGGCAGAGCTCTAGAAAGCGTATTAACTGCCTCGCTCAGATCTGCAGCCTCGGCAGCGAACACTGACCTCGGTTTTAAATAGCTTTTTCCGCCTGTTAGAATTAGATGTACAAAAATAAATACTCATTTTATTACTTTGGAAAGTTTTAACTCTGATTGTTAATACCCATTGGAAGATGAAATCTGAAGGTAGGTTTCAAATATCGCCAAAAGTACAATTTTGAGAATAGCTAAAATTTAAAGAAATTCACCAAATTGTGGATTGCGATTTTTATAAAAAATTAAGCGCAAAAAATTTCCAAAAATCCTCCAATTTAAATAAATATTGCATCACTGCTCACGGACCGTCACGGCCATAGATAATAAAGGTCACAGCTCGGTGAGCGCTGCAGCGATTCGTTACGTCACACCATAGCAAGTAACATAAAATGATTTTATGCACGATGACATTATAATATGACAATTAATTAATAACAAAAATTCTTTGACGTAAACGTCTTTTTATAGCCCGCGGGCGTTATTATGGTCCAGCGGGCTATAATGAAACGTCAAAAATTAAAAACAACAATGTTACACCATTTGATATATTCTAAGTAAGTTTTTTCGTATAAAGATTTTGATTTTACCGGCAGCAGGCCGCAATTTTTCGCCTTTTCAGCTGCTTCCTCAATTTCATTTATCTTTAAACTTTAAAACTGACTGATGTCAGTTGACATTATAATATGACAATTATAACAAAAATTCTTTGACGTAAACGTCTTTAAAAACAATAATATATTAAAAATAATAATAAATTAATCGTGCATAAAGTTTTGTATGCATTGCTGGCATAACTGGTTTTTATGGTCCTACGACGCTTTTCTAGCCCTCGCGCTAACGCGCTCGGGCTCGAAATAGCGCCTCGGACCATAAAAACCTTGTTATGCCCTTAATACATAAATAACTATTATTTCCACCTTCTTAGTAAATGACATTTTATAGGTTAATTTTGTTGTTTTTGTATCCAACTAAACGATACATTATGGGAACAGACCTGTATTATTTTACGGGATTGTATAAAAGACCTGCAAAGTTTTACAGGCTTATAGGAAAGCAAATTACATGTTATTTCCTTGGTTACAAAAACAACAAAATTAACCAATAAAATGTGATTTACTAAAAAGGTGGAAATTGAAATTTTTTATTTGACTATTTCCCTCGTCTTAATTTCCACCAATCACAAACGCGCAATTTTAAATTAGTTTCTAGGTGAAAAAACTGTATGACAGCACCTGTCAGCAGTTTATTCGAGTTTACCCGCGGCAAAACTTGACAGCTGTTGTCACCAAAAATTGCAATTTATATTTTAATTGTTAACCAGGGGGGTGAAACTCATATAGGAATATGCGCAACAAGCGCCTCCCGAGCAACGTTGCCATATTTTCTTTTTTAATAATTATTTTAATTGTCAGTTTTGACATCTGTCAACAATAGAAAGAATATTGATAACGGTAAAGATTTATTTCTAAGCTTTTAAGTATTTTTTGAGTTTTTTCATCTGTATTGCTTTCCCTTGAAGTTACAGTAAGTATATACAATAAATCAGTTGCTTTTATAATGTTTTTTGGAGATTGACATACCTATTAAATAATTAATTTGTGTGTAATTTATTACGATTGCAAAAACCAATACTACTTAATAATATTGGGACATTTGCTTTAATAGGGACTATTGTTGTTTGAAAGTAATTTCCTGCGTACTGATGTCCCTGGTGGAAGAAGTTATTGAAATTTTTACTATTGTTAAAAAATGTAATGCATTAATGGACATCAAAATTTTTTTAATACATGTATGTTTTTTTAGGTCCTAAACCGATACAGGAGGGAAGTTTTATACCTTCTTTCTCTTCTGAACCCATTCAAAATACAGATGCATTGTTTGTATATTCTTTAATTTATTTTATTGTTAAAATTAGTGTATTATAACCATTTACTTTTTAAAATAAATAAATATTTGCAACTATTTTATTTTATTGGTCAAATTTAAATAAATTAATATTATAATTAATAATATATACAAAATAGATAAAGCCGGCCCTGTATTATAAATTTAATAAAATATTTGGAGTACGGCCCTAATTGGCAGGCGTTTATGACGTTTGTGTTTCTTAAGTTTAACACAGTGGTCGCCCTTCTTATATTCTTTTTCTATGTTGTTAACTGTTACTCATGAAATAGTCTTGTCAAATACCATTCGGGCATCTAATTTTTCCTGTGAAAAAAATCGAAAAAACCCAATGCTAAGTAATATTTTTTAACAAAATGCATTCGTGCAGGTGCAAAATCCTCCTCTTCGACTCGGATTTTTGTTGCCACCAGCACTCATGCTTTTTGTTAAAATATTACTTAGCAACGTGTTTTTTCGATTCTTTTCGGAAAAATTAAATGCCCTTATGATATTACTTACGACTATTTCCCTCGTCTTAATTTCCACCAATCACAAACGCGCAATTTTGAATTACAAATGGTTTCTAGGTGAAAAAACTGTGTGACAGCACCTGTCAGCAGTTTTTTCGAGTTTTCCCGCGGCAAAACTTGACAGCTGTTGTCACCAAAAATTGCAATTTATATTTTAATTGTTAACTGTTACTCATGAAATAGTCTTGTCAAATACCATTCGGGCATCTAATTTTTCCTGTGAAAAAAATCGAAAAAACACAATGCTAAGTAATATGCATTCGTGCAGGTGCAAAAATCCTCCTCTACGACTCGGATTTTTGTTGCCACCAGCACTCATGCTTCTTGTTAAAATATTACTTAGCAACGTGTTTTTTCGATTTTTTTCGGAAAAATTAGATGCCCTTATGATATTACTTACGAAAATCGCCATATGAAGGTGAAAATAAAAGATTGTACGTGTCACACTAATTTTTACAAGGCTCACTGAATTATGGGGTTAGCTCCTGCCTCGCTCAGCCCACAAACTTCCAGCTCGCTCGTAATGATTAATTTACAAAGCTTGACACGGAAATAACTATTACCCTACCAGGTAGGGCCTACCTTGCGTAACACAGCAAACGGAAAAATATAGAAGTGTATAGGATGACTCCCCGTTTGAATACTAAGGGCCGTATGCAGAAACGTTGAGAAATAAGGCAGAACTTGGTTTTTGATAAAATTGTTAAATGAAATTATTGTTCTAAAATCATTGTTAAAAGTGTTGTTAGTGTATTCTACAAGGTAAGTTCTAAATATTTAATCTATCTAAATGTGTAGTAAAATTAACTAAACGCAATATTATGCATTTTTAAAATTATTAATAATATTTATTATTATATGATTATTGCTATTATGAGTATATTTATCCTTTACTTTTACGTTTAACTGTTAACACCTATTTTCGCTTTTACTGTTATCACTATAATTTTAATAATTGACTGCTCAAATGTAACATTGTAATTTGTTTTGTGCTTAACCCAACATTTTGTACCTTTTCTATCACGTGTTTAAGCATTGTTTTATGATCAGTCTAAATTTGTTGATGTATCGCGAAATGATTCGGTGCTTAAACATGAGTTCTGACCGTTACCGTTAAACTTTGAGTACTCTTTGTTTGAGTGCTAAGAGCCAACCCTTGCTTGTTTGTAAAAGTTAACGTAAATTAAATTGGGGTAAACTAAGCCACTGTATTTTATTTCTTATAAACCTAGTTCTCCCACGCAATGCATTTAATAAAACAAGTAAGTAAACACCACGTAGAGGTCCAAATTTGGATATCACGACCCAAAGCCACAAAATATTTAATTTATCAATTTTATTAAAACTTGTTTTAAACGAACCTGGGGTAAATAGAAATCTTTACAGTATACGCTAAAGAAGTATCGCTAGTAGCGCCACCACTCGGCTGTTATCATCGTAACAAAAGGAGGGAGCTATACTCACAAATTGCATGTCCAAAATTGTTCTAGAAAATGGGTGGGAGGTGTTTTAAATATTGCTGTACTAACATATACCAGTGGAGATAGTGCAGGGTCTACCAACAGACCTCATTATTAAAATAAAACTTTAATTAACTATTAATTATTTAACTATTAAAAATTTTTAATACAAATATACAGTTCA